TTCTAATTTCCTGGGCTGCTTTAATTCCCGCCCTGTTGAGAAGGCTGTAATGATGCATTTTTGTATTAGATAAAAGTCTTTTTAAATTATTTTTTATAGAGTGTAGAAGAGATTATTTTAAATAATTTCGGATCTTTTTGTTTTTTGATTTTATTAATTTTACCTTTGAGACGTTTATCCTTTTTAAAAGGACGACAAACGAATCGGGGCCCAACCTTGTTACGTGCTTCAGATTTGTGACATTCAAGGGTACCGGATTCATATGAGTTGATTAGATTTTGGGCATATACAGAGTCGTTTTTCAACTTTAAAGAATATGTCTGTTATTTACGCTTGAAGAAAAAAATTCGTCAAATAAAAGTTGCTAGTGATATAAAATTCAATTAAAAAATAAATGAGAAAAGTATGCAGGTATTTGAATTTTGACCTACCCTGTACAGATTTGTTTCGAATTAAAAAATAGTGTATCCGCATAAAATGTAGACTAATATCGAAACTATTTTACAACAAAAGATTGGTTTTCAATTGTTTCTTTTGCAGTATATTGAGATTAATACAATTTTCATATAAAATTGGTATTAGCGTATACTCTGTATGATCTCATACTATTTGGTATTGTTATAATGGGAAAAGCGAGGGCAATTAAAATATAAAATAAAATAAAGGGCATTCCATTTAAAAAACCTAACTTTGATATGTTTCACTTTTTTGGAGAACCCTGTATGATTAAAATTATTTTAAAATTGTTATCTTTTCGGACATACATCTCGTTGTGAAAACAAATTAAAAAAAAAATCAAATAGTTTTGGCTCTGCAGACCGAAGCGTTACCCGTTGCCCATCCTGTACATAAGTCATTACCTTACAAGGTTCATTTCTCAAAATTTCAAATAGACATATCTGGAAAGAATTTCTGACTTGTTTGTTTAGAGAAAACAAAATACCTAGGGAGAAACGCATATACTCATATAAACTTAGCCAGGAATATTAAACTTTGGTAAAAAGTGTTGTTTTATTTATAAAGTAGGTATTTATTATTAAAATTAAAACCAATAATTAGTATGGCAGTAAGTTAAATTTCATTTGCAAATAAACGTATTTTTTCGCGTATTAAAATTGTATTTATTCCGGCCCTGTTCCGCATCAAACTGTTACTTAATACACATACCCAGACAGCACACAACATCTTAAAGACGTCTGTTTTATGTCGTAGTTATGACTGAACGCCTAAAGACCTAAAAAAGACGTTTTAAAGACGTCTTTATAAATGCCTATCTATTTACGAAATATAAAAAAGAATGATAACATTAAAAAAAGTACTGGCTTACTTGTCGTTTCTAATTTCACAAAATATAATTTTTTTTTTATTAATTTACATAATTTACTTATTTTTTTATTTATTCACGAGCATTTGTTCATTAGAGTAAATAAATATTTGTTAACATAAAAATAATAATAATAAATATAACTCTAAATAAAATTAAAAATTAAAACATATAGACAAATTGAATTACGCGCTCTTTCAACTTGACCGGAACTTGGTTCAACGATCGAAGGGAATGTTTTTATTATGCTTTGTCTTTTTTCAACAGTAGAATTTAAACAAGGACGTGTATCTGAATGTGAGTATTATTGGGGTTCCGTGGTTCGTGGCGTTCTGCGTTGTCCTTTCGTTTTCATTTGTCGTTTATGTTGAATATGAAAGCCGAGAGGTTAGTTTTTGTTCGTTTTCGTTGATTTTTTTATTTGTCTTGTGCCGTGGGTTACTGTGAATTTATAAGCATAAAAGTTTACTGCATATACTGAAAAACCAAATAGAAGAACCCTTATTAGTGTTTTAAGTACGTCTAGGCGTCTAGAGCTGACTTAGAAGCTTCATCGGATGTAAATATATCTGAATTAGAGTTGAAAGTACAGGAAGATTGCCATTCTTTGATCACCCTTAACCCACACTATCTACTAAATATCCTATTAAAACGAATTTGACAGAGTGAGCTATAATGCATATTTTACACAGCGCAGTTAAAATTATTGCAACCCAGACTGGATCAGAAGAGCATCAGACAGAAGATAAACCACTAATGGAGGAAGAATCCAAAAAAAAGTAATTTGTAATATTACTTTTTTTAACGAAATGTTTCAGTATTTTGTTAATAATAATGTTTATAGAAAATATGTGTTTTATTTTGTATAGAAGGAATTTACAAAAGCTTTTAAAACTAAATCCGAGAGTACGTCTTACCAATGTCGAAAAACAGACATATTCAAGATGTCTTAGGAACGTTACCTTTTGTAACAGACGTCTTAAAGATGTCTTTAAGACGTCTGGCCGGCGTCATAAGACATCTTTTAGACGTCTGTCATGTCTCTGACAGACGTCTTATGGACGTCTTAAAGATGTCTTTGTGCTGTCTGGGATAACAAAGGTTTTATAGCGCCATCTGTGAAATTACCTTGAACTTCTTAGTGCACAGATTTCTACAAGCTTTGGAAACGGTGTATACCATCTTTCATCTGCGTTGCACCTAGCCATAGAATAATCTTTCCTCCATGGCCATAGATTACTTGAACACCTAGCCGATTAAGTGAATTAATAATTAGCTTTTATTTCAAACCAAGCTTTCAGGAAAACCAAACATTATTTTAAAGTGTGATTTGTTTCATTTATTTGATATGCTAGTTGTACGGGTGTCAACGAAAAGAAAACGTCTAAATATGTTTAGTTTTAAAGTAAACACGTCGACAAGTCGAGGGTTTCTATGTGATTTTGACACCAAGGATCAAAGTCATTTTTCGAGTATTTTTAAAAAACTCTGCTTCTTTAGATTTCTTTACAACCCGTAGGCATTATTCAAGAACTGGTTTCTATATTAAAATTAATGCTACGAAGTATACTTTTCCCGAAAGCTTCGTCAAAAGTAACCTCTGCATATACGGGGAATTAACATGGGCGATCGCCGGCCTTAATATATATTTTACGAAACATCCCCAATTATCCCTGCCTGTTAATTATTCACACTTCACAGGTCAGAGTTATGTCGTTGTTAAAACTGTTTACGAAATCTTTCCTAGAAATGCGGACTAACAGATGTTAGTACTTTCTACAGATTTCTTTCTTGGAAGGCGGGTTGATACTTTAAGTTGGAAACAATTTGTTTGAAAAGATTATCTCTACAGGATTTTATTTATTGGAGGCAGAATGATATTTTATTAAGCTTTTGTTGGCAATTATGATTTAAAAATTTCAATACTATCAATTTCGAGCATTCTACGTCACGTTTTCCACGGGCGTATTACGACAAATTATATTATTTTTTATTAATAACGCGCTATTTTAATAATAATTATTATTTGGATATTTGTTTCAGCTGCGTATTAATCAAAAATCAAAGTTGTTTTCTTAAATTAAAAGGTGTCGTAGTTGAATGTTATAGTCATAAATTTAATTTTGATGTTCGTTTTTAGTGCATTTCGATACGCATATGTGGGCGCCAAAGTGTCAAATATCAGCTCGCTATGCGGCTTAATTTTGTTGATCGGCTTTGTTCTTCCAGTTTTAGCTGAGTTCTGTTTGTAAACGGACCTGACATTCGAAGGTTGTTTGACCTTTATCCTGTCTTACTCCTAAATAACCGAACCCACTACTAAGTATTTGACTGATGACAAATGACATGACTGATTTGACGGATCTGTTCTGAATTTTCTTTTTATTACAAAAGTACAAAAAATAATTATCGTACTTTTGAAAGGTTCTAAAACCAAAACAGCACTTCCCAGTCAGCTGATTTGTAACATTTTAGACTATCTAATTATAGCCCGATTAGTTAACTATTAACCGAAAACAAAATGAGATGGATAAGTGACATTCAGTGAAATAATGAATGTACGAGAAATGTTTGTGTTTACCAATATCAGATTATGCCAATATAAGCTGTCAATAACAATGTTGGAGAAATACTAAAAATTTGTTGTGAATGGTGTATTTAGCCACTAACTTTTAGGTATGATAAGCGTTAATTAATCCTGCTTAATTTTGGCGTATTGCCTCACCTTGCAAAAAAAATTTCTTTGTTTACTGCGTATGGATATTCTTTTAGAGTAATGGGCTTTAGATCTATTTTAAATGTGGATTTCGTGAAAATATTTTATTACAGTCAAATTTTAAAGGGTTTTTCTTATTTTGCATTATCCGTTTCTAATTTTAATGCTAATTAACAAATTTTTTAGGTATGTCTAGAAAATACTCATCTGCTTGAAGTTAAAAATTATTAACAGTTAAAATGCTTCATGTATTTCACGTGGATTCTGGACGAATGATGACTTTTGATATGAGCCTAGCTCTAGAAAGGTTAGTGTTATTTATTTTAACTAATTTATTTAGGTTTCTTTCGAGTAGATTTTTCTTTTAGTTTGTACCTAACTACTGAGTAATTTAATCCTAAAATGCAAAACATTTGTTGAAAGTTTGATATTATAAAGAGTTTCACTACTTAACCAAGGGGTAAACCACTTGAATAAAATTTGTAGGCTATAATGCTACTTAAATAATTTCAAAGAATTTGACTGCGATTTTTGCCATATAAGAATGGAATTTGCAAAAACTAGGAAGAATATTTTTAAATATCGTCTATTTGGACTATTTGAACAAAATAAAAGTATTAGATGAGATATAAAATTAGAAAGCGCATATTTCGAAGTTTTATGTAAAAGGTATTGAATTTTGTATCCTGTTTACATATTGCTGTTCTTTGAGAAGATTCTGCGCATATGCTGACTTTATTACATTCAAATTCTAGATAAGGGCTTGATAATCTGTAGGGATCGACCAATATCAGTATATCAGCATTCTTGGGAGTAAATACATAGTTGTTCACATGCGATAAAAGTTGTGTTTTGGTGTAGCTTGCAAAAATTGTCTTTTTAACTAAAAAATTGTGCAAAATAATTGTATGTTTTAACACCAGTTCTAAGGAAAAGTTACAGTGAGTCTGAAACACTTACCCATTTTTGAAATAAATACAAATTAACAAAGTTATTCATTTAATTGTATCATAACAAAAATATAAGGTAGCTAAGTTTGTTTTTTTTGCAGTGATTTTTCTGTGAAGTTAAAGAAGTTAAAATAAGTTTACGATTTAAAATTTGCAGCATCTATTGAACCGATGCATTGAAATTGACTTTTTTCGGTTATTTTGTACAACCTATTGTCTCACCCCTGTAAATGTTTACTTACATTTTTCACACAACATCTTACTCGAAACATTTTTTTAAATAAATAAATATATATATTACGGAATAATCCATTAGTATCAATAAATTACATAAAATAAAATAGCTTAAGTACATTAAAAAAAAAAAAAAAAGGTAGGCACAATAAATCTAAAATTTCATATATGAAATGTAATAAACTAAACTAAAGATATTAAAAACAAATTCTCTTTACATCCTTCACAAATTGACTAATAGAACACCCAGTGATGTCTAAATTGTATTGATTAGCCAGTCGCATTAGTCTAGGTAGAGGTGCATGATAAGCATAATTGGTAAGGTGAAGTTGAATGGCAAATAAACTATTATTTCTTGTAGTTCTTGTGGGAACTCTAAATTCAATCATAGCTAATAACTCATCAGAAGTAATAATCCCGGCTATGATCTTATGGAGGAATGATAGATCCATCAATATTCTTCTATTAACAAGGGTTGGGAGGTTTATTAAATCCAGAATTGTGGAATAATTATATGTACCTGCTGCTAGACCAACTTTAAAGGCACAATATCGTAGATATTTATTTTGGACATTTTCAATCCTTTTTACAGAGTTTATGTAAAATGGACACCATATGGTAGAGCTGTACTCCAAAATGGACCGCACATATGCAATATAAACCATTCTACAGGCATCTAAAGATAACGATCTAGAGTTTCTTATCAGCATGCCTAACATTTTCATTGCTCTATTAACTATAAGATTGATATGATTATTAAACGAAAGATCTGAGCAAAACACGATTCCCAGGTCTTTAATTTCGGTAACACGTTTAATTAATGTATTGTTATTCAGAGAGTAGTTATGTGTTATTTGATTATGATTTTTTGTAAAAGTAATGCAGTAACACTTACTAGTGTTTAGGGTTAGACCATTAGAGGAAGACCATTTACATAAGGCATGGAAATCTTTTTCAATATTATTACAGCAATCACCACTGTTAATCTTTAAGTAAATCTTTAAATCGTCAGCAAATAGCAGATAATTACTATATTCAAAAACAGATCCAACATCATTAATGAATAGATTAAAAAGTAATGGAGCTAAGTGGGCCCCTTGCGGTACACCAGAAGAAACTTTTATGGGATCAGACAAATAATTCTTTATTTTGACACGCTGCACTCTACCAATGAGATAACTTTTAAGCCACTCTAGAAGAAAGGGAGGGAATCCGTAGGCTTGCAGTTTGAGTAATAGTAATTCGTGATTGACTTGATCGAAGGCTTTAGAAAAGTCTGAATATATGGCATCTACTTGCAAACCGTTTACTACAGAATTTATTATGTAATTGTGATAGATAACAAGATTAGTTGTAGTAGATTTTCCTTTTACATACATTCATTGCCAATGAATATACCAAGGGGCAAATCACTCCCGCAATACATGTACAAAATGTCCGAAATCCCATTGAAAATCGCCGCAGTCCCATCAAAATCAGCGGCAATCGCTAAGAAATCGTCGCAGTCGTTCAGAATTCCCTCGCAGTCTCCCCGAAATCTCCCGCAGTCGCTGAGCAATCACTGGCAATCTTTAAAAATCGCTCGCAGTCAGTTGACATTTCACCCATTCGCCATTGTGCTTTGACTAGGCAAACTAAGCCAACTTGTGTAAAATTAAACAAATTGCATTTACGTTTATCGAAAGTGTCCTTCCATCAATTATTATTAATTTTAAATGCCATTTTTAGCAAAGTTCATCAAATTTCTGATCTGATCTGATAGAAGAAACTTCCAAGGTGGTCCAGAATTGTCTCTGAATTTTTTTTAATGCATAATAAAATTTTATTATAGGTGGTCATATATGTTTTAATTAGTAGATGTATTTTATTTAAAAAGAAATTAATTTATTGACAGAATACATTTTTTACTTTCCTGTCTGTATACAGATAAGGAAAGTATAGGAATCATGATTTTTTTTGACGGATTTTTACGTTTTGGGGTTTCTTAAATCCGTTTTGACTATTTTCGCGATGATGTATGCATGTATGTTTGTGTCTGTATACCTCGCTGTATACTCAATAACTCGTGAACGGATAAAGAGGAAAACACTAAATTTTAAACTTAAGTTTTGATTAATCCTCTAATAATGAGTGAATTACATTTTAGGCATAGTCGGAACATCTGGGGAGGGTACTTTATAGGGTTCGTTTTTCTACTACGAATATATGTTATTTACGCTTGGAGAAGAAAATTCTTTAAATTAAAGTTGCTTGTGTTGCTCTATAATTTTTATCCTATAGGTAAATAATTTTCCTAAAATTGTTCGTATTTAAATTTTTTTACAAAAAAAGTGCATATTTAGAATTTTTAAGAAAAGTTCAAATTTCGTATATGGTGAAAACTCAAAAACGGTTAAAGAGAAAAATAAAATTTTAAACTTAAGCTTTCATCCATTCTCTAATGAGCTGATTAAGAGTTTGGGCATAGTCGGAGCACTTTGTAATGGGTCGTTTTTCTGCTTAATAGAATTATTTAGTATAGATCCAAGTAGTGAAGTAGCTGTTACCCAATGAGTTTCTTAGCGAGGTCCAAAGTTGAGGACTGTACTAAATTAAGTTCATTAGATATTAAGGTTTGCTTTGTTTTTAAATTTCTTGTTGTTACTTAACTCTACATTACTATTAATTTTTTATAGGGTTTGTAAATTATCCAAAAAATAAATATATGTTATTTACACTTGAAGAAGAAAATTCTTCAATTAAAAGTTGCTTGCGATATTTTTCTGTATAATTTTTTTCCTATTCATAATTTTCCAAAAATGGTCCATATTCGAGAAATTTTACAAAAAGTACTTACAAAATTCAAATTTTTAAGAAAATTGTTCAAATATGTTGCTTGTGATTCTCTATAATTTTTGTCCCATACACGATTTTCCTAAAATGGACTGTATTACATTACAATGCAGATTTACCTATTAATCTAATTACTGATGCTTCACAATATGGGGTAGGCGCTTTATTAGCTCAAGTTATGCCTGATGGTATTCAAAAACCAGTAGCTTTTGCATCTCGACAGCCGAAAAAAAATTATTCGCAGATTGAAAAGGAAGGTCTAGCGATTATATTTGGGCAATCAGTATTTATACGGTCGGGAGTTCACGTTGGTCGTTGATCATAAACCTTTAACAGCAATATTTCATCCTGAAAAGGGAATACCCCAATTCTCAGCCAATAGCCTACGCCGCTGGGCGGTAATTTTATCAAATTATAATTACAAAATGGAGTTTGTAAAATCTGAAAAAAATCTGGCAGATTCTTTGTCGCGTTTACCAGAAACAGTAGATGAATTAGCATGGAAAAATGTAGACATAAATTTTGTAAATTTTATTTCAAAGAACGAACATTTTCCGTTGAATTTTAAAAATATTCAGTCGGAAACCGAAAAAGACAATAATCTAGTCGCTGTTCGCGATCAGGTCTTAAACGGTTGGCATGTCAAAAACATTAACGAGTTAGATTCAGAAATGAAAGCCTTTTATAGAATTCGAAATGAGTTAAGTATCGATAATAACTGTTTATTGTGGAATAATAAAATTATAATTCCTACGTCATTAAGGCAAATGATTTTGAGCGACCTTCATTCGTCTCACATGGGTATAGTAAAATCTAAAAGTTTGGCTAGGTCTTATTTTTGGTGGCCTAATTTAAACAAAGAAATTGAAAAAATTTGTAGTAACTGCGAAAATTGTATATTAAATAAAAAATCGCCTAATAAAACAGTATTGAATTGTTGGCCTTATCCGAATGAAGTATGGTCGCGTTTACATCTTGATTATTTAGGGCCTTTCTTGCAAAAACATTTTTTAATTTTAGTAGATTCTTTTAGTAAATGGATCGAAGTTTTTCCAGTAACCAACATTACGGCAAAGACAACCATCGACATTTTAAGAACAACTTTCGCAAGATACGGCCTTCCAAAGCTTATTGTTACGGATAACGCAACAAATTTTTCCTCTTTAGAATTTGAAACGTTTCTGTCTCAAAATAATATTAGACACATAACTTCACCTCCGTATCAACCTTCTTCGAATGGCGCGGCGGAAAATGTGGTAAAAACCATTAAAAGCGCTTTAAAAAATGCCTTGGGGAAAAGCAATTCTCTAGATATCAATAAAGTTTTGAACAATTTTTTATTTGATTATAGAAATGTAACTCATTTACTACTAGTAGAAGCCCAGCCAATCTAATGTTTGGCCGCCAGTTGCGTACGCGTTTTGACTTACTTTTACCTGATAATAACAAAGCAGATACAGATTTAAAAGATCATGTCTTGGAAAAGCAGGACTTGCAAAAGATTTACCATGGAGGATCTAGAAATTTAAATTTGTGTGTAAACGATGTAGTCCTAGTAAAAAATTATCAAAATGTGAATAAACCTACATGGAGTAAAGGTATTATTTGTGAAAAATTGGGTAATTGTGTATATCGTATAAAAATTCCTGATTTGAATTTGGTCTGGAAGCGCCACCTGAATCAGATTAAATTATTGAACCATGTGGAAGCTTCACTTCCCATTTCACCTCACAGTTCACCTAGGATAGTTTCTGAAAATTTGGGGGTGGTTTCTGGATCTAATGAAAGTGATGAGATACCTGAAACTACAGTGACAGAAATTACTCAGAGTGATAATAGTGATGAGAGTGAAAATCCAATCTTGTGTGCAGATAATAATAATGAGAGTGCTAATGGTGTGCGCCCCAAAAGAAACATTAAACCAATAGAGCGCTTACATTATGAAAAT